TCACAGATGTCAATATGGAATATTTTTTCCAGAGAGATGTTTGTTGACCTGTCAATACTATTTCGTTTATATGACAACCAACACTTGTTAACATCAATTGAATTGATAAGTCTTTAGTCATATCACTAATGACAGGTTTCAAAACAGGCTGTCAAAAGAGTTTTAGAGGGAGAAGGAGAACAGGAGAAACAAACAATTTTGGTCTTTAGCTGCCCATATTTCAGTGTTATTTCTGTTAGGAATCAACTGCTAAGTTCAGGACTAGAGACAAACCTGCTTACAGCTTTGTTTGCTTTTCTCTTATTTCTGTATTTTAGCTTCTGTTAGGGAGACAGAACAGCAAGGGAAAGGGATGGGCTGTAGCCAAAAGCCTGAGGAAACTCTATAGTCCTGGGTCACATCTCAAGTACACACACCATCTATGTCAGCATTAACGGGCACCTCCCCTATGCCAGTAACCTACACAGTATTATTTTTATTTTATCAAGACAGCATAGCAGAAAAAGGTAGGGGAGGGATGTGACATGCTTCAGGTTTTGATAAGATGCTTCTGGCCTTTGCCTCATTGTAGTCTCTAAATACATCTCACCAAGAGCCTGGTGAGCTCACCAAGACCTTTGATACTCACTAGGGTCTCCAAAACCACCAGTCAGCCAGCCTGACATCTGAAACTTGATGTTGACTCTCTCTGAAACATGTATAAAAATGCTGGGAGAAAAACTTGTAGGAATTTAGGAGAGTCAGACACATGGTAAAACTCCAAGCCAAAGCAGAGGGCTGAGATGGCAACCAAACCCTAGTGCACTGGACACAGCTTTATTGAAAATATTGGGTTTTTCAGCTTTAGCCTTTCCAAAACCTTGCTGAAGGCTGCAAATAGTAATGTGGTAAACATAACAGTCCAGTTCTTCAGCATTGATAAAAATAAGCACCTGTCAAACTTGACAGGGATGTGAGAGTACTCAAGGATAAGGACTTTGGTGAGGATGGCTGAAACAGCACTTCATACATGCAGGGGAGAGCCAGGCATCACTCAGAACCTCTGAAATGATGAAGGAAACCACCTCTTTCACTTGACTGTGGGACAAAGAGGAGCAGTGAAGCAGCTTGAACAACCAGAAGAACCTATTTGCCCGTTCCTATTACTACCTGAAAGAAGGGAAGACGGTTCATTTTTTTTCCCAAAGCAAACACAAAAGACAAACCAGAAACACACAGAAACAAGACAGTCAGGAAGGAGGAAAAGAAATAAAAAATAATAAAAAATTCTGGAATTTAGATAGTGAAAAGAAAGGAGGTGAGAACCATTGCAATGACCTGTCTGACCTAGGAAGCATTGGATATGGCAGAGTGCAAACAAGACCAGCAGAGTATATAAGGATCACCAGTTGGTAACTTTTTGCAACAAAACCTTCTTTTTATTTTTTTGAAAGCAAAAAGAAAAACAAAACTAAAAAAAGAATTACAGACACTGACAACAGCTAGATGAAACCAGCAGCAAACCAGCCAAGATCTTCATTTTTCTCAAAACCAATATCTGCAGCTTCACTAAATGAAATCATGGCACACCTGTATTCTTTTGCTTTAATACAAAATGGGCATTTTTAAGACAACTAAATAGAGAAAAAGAGATCTATTTCAAAGAGCAGTCGAACATTTCTTTTTGGAAGATTTCTTCTCTTGCAATTCCTTTAACTCTGCCAGTGCCATATTTCAGGGCAACTAAAAGATAGTGCTTCTTCATATTACAGCCCTGCAGACTTTTTGTTTGTTTAGTCATTCCTCAGAGGCTTGGAGTTGTTTGGAGACATTTATAACAATTAATTGATTCTCACGTTGCCAAGAGCAAATTTTTATCTTCTCAAACAGGGTAGGAATCAGGTTAAAGATTACAGGGGAAATGACTGACCTGATAAAAACTGTGAATGCTGCATTAGTTACAACAACCCTTGGGATTGAAATCCTACTATTAGTTAAGGAAAGAAAGGATTCATTCAATTATCTCACTGTGTATTAGTGATTTAAAGCACATGGTGTATGAGGACAAGATATAACAGACATTGACTATCTTTTCTGAACAGAATTAAATAAAACATGAAATGTTCATTGTTAATAGCTAATAAACATATTAATATTCAACTGCAGAGCAGTAATTACAATATGGGCTTTGATGTTAGGCTGGTGTAACTGCCAGGGCTGCCACAGTCTCCTGTTATGTGCTGGGTTAGCAGCAAATCTTCACTAATCCTAATTTAATCTCACACATATCATTGTTCAGTTGCCATCAAGAGAAGTTTTTTACCTCATATCATGTGGAATTGAAACAGTATTGCTGATGCTCACAATGACGTAAAAATAAAGGCAAAATCAGTCAAATTGAAAGGACTGAGAAGTTCAGAAGTGATTTACTTTTGCCTGACAAAACTCTAGGGATAAGAGCTGTGGTATCACTGGTCACAGGCAGAGCCAGGCTCAAAAGAACTCATGTTAATGCATCAAAAATGGGTATCAGCATTAAACCTCAGGAAAAAACCTCCATGTTTGTGGCCAGCAAGGCTGTAACTTATGCACATGCATCCAAATCTGCTCTCCATTCCCTGGAGCAGCTTTCAAAAAGACCCTCTTTCCCCTGCACCATAAGAAATAACTGAGTCCAGTGGGACCCTAAGCAGTCATCCTTTTTTTTTTTTTTTTCCCCTGGAGTGCAATAAAGAAACAAGGCAAAAGAGAAATGCAATGGAGCTGTTCTGTGATTCTTCCTGTGAATGGAGAAGATCAGAAAAGGCATTCAAAAGGAAGACAGGAGGCAACAATTAATGAGGAATGAGTTGTGTTGCATTAACACTAAATCACTGAGGATCTTTTGCCAGTCAAAGCCAGGAACAGCAAGGATACATAAAGAACAGTTCCAGGTCCTTTCCATGCCACCACTTTCCCCTACTGGCTCAATGAGCATAGATAACTTGACTAGCCCTGGTGTGAGCAGCTAGTGTTAAGCAGTAATATATATGCAGAATATACAATAGAAGGAAGTTACACTTACAAGTCAAACGTTGGGCAGGCAGATGTTATTTGGCTGAGAGCTACTGAAATGCCTTTTCGTTTTAAAATTGTTAAAACTCAGTAAGTTTCATCACCAAAATTAATACCTGCTGTTCGTGCTGCAGCAGATAGAAGAACCTATTTAGCATAGTGATAATGAGCTACGTTGTGTATCTAAGACTTTACTGCACCTGCTTCTCCAGCACTAAACAAGTTTCAGAACTAAATTACATCTCAGCCAAAGCTTGATCATCATACAAAGCACGCACTGCAGAACAACTCAAACACATACAAATCTTAGTGCAGTGTCCTGAGAATAGCTGAAACTCACACAAATGAAGACTAGCATAGCAGTGTTTACTAGCATCAGAAAAAGAAGGAAACTTAGCAGGTTTTCTAGCATGAATCTCAAGTCCCAACCTGCCTCCCTTCTGCCCCAAGTAATATATCTTGCTTCTCTACCTCTCCACGGCTATGTTCTTTTAAGCATGTTAATGACTTGAAGCTTGTAAGATCATTAAGTAGAAGGAGACAACCAGTTCTCTTCCTATGGCTCTTGAGAGGAACATAAACCTAGACCTCTACAAACAAAAGGTCAGCACGACCCTGGTCTACAGGAGCACAAACAGATCCAGGAAGAATGTTTTAAATATTCCAGATGATTCTGTTTGGTACAGTGGAGCTGTCAAGGTACTATGTGCCTTAAAACATGCAAGAAGAGTTACAACTGCAGAGAGCTTACAATATGAAGTTGGCCCGTGCTTACTTTGTACTGTAAATTTTCTTCCTGATTTTGCCTTGAAATTTTGCTGCCAACAAATTTTGCTGCTCCTCTATTTTAAAACCCACAACACTTTGTCACTTCCTGCTGCACAAGGTACACAATTACAGCAATGCTGTTGTCACAGGAAAGTGGCACTTAGAGGAGCCAGTATCACATACACAATGACCATGAGGAAAATGGATGGAAGCACAGAAAAAAAGAGGCAAAGGAGATAAAGCCAGATCCACAAAGAAAAGCAAGATGTTGAAATTGGGACTTCAGCAGAGGTGCTTAGGTGCAGGAGATGGAGAAAATAATCATAGAATGTGCAGGGTTGTAAGGGACCTTTAAAGGTCATCTGGTACAGCCCCCCTGCAGTGCACAGGGACCCTTTTGAGGAGATCAGGTTGCTCAGAGCCTTATCAAGCCTGACCTTGAATGTTCCCAGGGATGGAGCCTCCACCACTTCTCTAGCTAACCTTTTCCAGTGCTTCACCACCCTCATGGTAATGAACTTCTTCTTGATATCGAGTCTTAATCTACCCTGCCCTAGTTTAAGACCATTGTCCCTCATCCTATCACCACATGTCCTTGGAAACAGTCCCTCCCCAGCTTTCCAAATCAAAGCTCTTTGACAGATTTTCATCAGTAAAAATATGTACAGCAACTTCAGTTCTAGCAACACACAAAAGCATAACTCTGCTTTGGCAGGATGGTTGGCTGGCTCCTCTCCAGTGCCTATGCTTGATCAATATTCTCTCAGTAGATGTTCACAAATCAGCCTCCAGTATTAGCTAATTCCTTAATTTTCATTTTCCTTCTCACTGTACTGTGGCAATACCCTGTTAGGAATGATATTTGAAATATCTAAAGCTCCCCAAAAACTCCACTTTAGGAGCCAGATGTTCAAAGACCAGCATTGCCATGCCCAGCATTACCACATCTGCACTCCTGTGCTGAGCTGCCTTGAGAAAGTACCCACTCAAGAGCAATCAAGCCTGAGTGTGGATCAGGAACTGACAAGTCAGCCCAGTGGTTCCCAGTAAAAGCATCTCCCCCCTGGATCTCCCATTTAGTATCTCATCCGCCACGTTCACAGCATTATCTGTAATTTTCAACACACTATTCATATTCCTGTAACACAGCTGTATTGCTGCATGGGGAAGCTTCTGGTCCCAAAACCAACTTTTTGTACCTTTGGATCAGCAGTCAGCAGCTTGAATGCTTGATATACTTGTGCTTCTTTCACACCTCCACCGAGATCCAAGAAGTTGGCTGGTTTTCCACCATTCAAGGATATTATATCACATGTTGCCATTGCAAGCCCAGCTCCATTGACTGTAATTGCAAACATAAAGTGCTTATATTTCACATAAAAGTATGTCAGATCTGTGAAAAAGCTTTAAACACATTAGCACAACCACAAAAAGTGTCTCAAATGTTACATAAATACTTATTTCTAGATAGGTGAGGGATATTACAAGGATATTCAATGCACCAAATAATTCTAAGTGTGGTGCATACACAGTAACATTTAGATTTCTTTATCAAATGTAGGAATGGATCAATTCTAGGACTTAGGTCAGCACCTTCCCTTTGGCATGTGTAAAAACTGGCCTGGTAACTGGGGACATGCAAAAACTTCTCATTTAAAATAAAACAAGACAAAAACTTGTAAGAATTGCAATTGCATCATGAGATGAGATGGACAGATTGACTCCTTAGGTTCCTCTCCCATCACTGGGATAACAGTAGATGATGCTTTGTATTACTGTAAAACAGACAATAAGATTTTGGAGACTATATCAGGTGCTCCTGAAACTGCCTTTCTTTTGTGTTTACACCAATCTAGAAGCATTCCCATGGGCACAAACATCCTCTAATCTAAGAATAATGGATGTGAATTATTCATCCCCAGTAAGTTGCTCCTGCTGGACAAAATAAGGCTTCTGTGTCACCTGTATTTCATCAGCACTATCTTCGACTTAAAAAATAAAATAAAACTGCATTGTTGCCAGTTATTGTTTGGGCTATTTTTGTCTTTTCAAAATTGAAATTAAAATCTAACTGTCATGTACTGAATCAACTGCAACACATTATCAGTGTCTTCTAGATTTGTGGCTTCAGAACATATCTAAGCAATGGAAACATTGGACATTTTCTAAAGCCAGTCATTTCACCAAGCTGAGATAAAATGACTAATTCAATTAGATTCATAATAAAACATTGTACTGCTTAAAAGAATTCGTACAGAATGGAAATTATTTAGAGCATTGCTGACTTTTTTACTTATCTCTTCTAAACACAAGAGTAATTTTTGTTTTATAGAAACTTCAGGAACATAAGAAACTGGTATTTTCCTTTTAACAACCGAGCAGCTTCTATAGCAGCTTTCCTTAAAGGGAAATGGAATTCAATATTTGATTGTAAATGGGAATATCCTGCTTTCATACACACTCTTTTCAGTGCCTTCTGAGTAATACAGTCTCATTTTTTAAAATTAATGATCAAATCTTGATGACTTTTCTTGTTCTGTTTTAATTACTGGAAAGATCAATGACATCAGCTTAAGAATTCAGAACATAGATACTCCCCACAGGCTTCCCCCTTGGCCAGTCTGCTGACTTCACACAAGCCCTGCCTGTCTGCTGCTGTGGCTTTCACCGTGGTTTCAACACCATTTTAATTTCATTCCTGCAAGAACTTCTGGAAGGACAAACAATCTGAGCAAAACAGACTGAAATACTGTCAGGGTGGATTGAATGTCAGAATGTAAACAAAGTCTACACACTAAACAAGTATGAATTTGACTTCAAATGTCTTTTGGATTTATTTGTTCTTACCAAAGCAAGCAATATTTCCATCCAGTCCTATATATTTTAAGTCATATTTGGCAGCTTCATTCTCTATAGGCTCATTTTCAGACTTGTCATCCATGGCAAATATTTCTTTTTGCCTAAATTCTGCATTGTCATCAAAGTTTATCTTGGCATCAAAGCAAACAACTACAGAAAAAAAAATATAAAACAACATAAAGGCATTTAGACATTCCAGTCAGTCAGAGCTTCTGAAATATTACACCAACCTACAGCAGCAGGGAGGGGGAGAAGGTGGCTTAGGGACTGATGCTGCTTTCAGCATAAGATCAGCTGAAGTTCTAGAATTAAGTCCAGTAGAGATGGGTGAGTTTTTCTTAAATCCTTTATTGAGAAAAGGTTCAGCAAGCATCTCTGAACTAGTGTCATGTGCCTTTGTCAAAGGACAATCTTCTATGTTGGCTTTAAACAAAGTTCCCATAAGTCCTCAAGGCAGTTTTTGTGATGTAGAGAGGTGCTCTGCAGTAATTTCATAAGAGAGTTTACGTCCAGTATTTGGAAAGTGTGAAAGATATAACAAGTAACAGGTTAACAATACAAAGTAATGTTTGGTAACAAGCACTAATTTATAGCTGAGCAATAAAAAAAAGCTTTCCCTAGTCATATTGTTAATTAATGTTTATAGCTACACAACCACTATTTCCTCAAAGATCTAAATAAAAAAAACCAAAAAACTAAATGAAAATAAAAAAACCTAACACTTTAAGCCAATGTATATTAAAAATGATCAAAAGATTACTTTTAAACAAGAAGAACTTAAAAAGTAGATACAACACTTGTTGTCAATGTCACCATCCACTGTGTTTGTAAAAACAAATAAAAAAGTAGCTAAACCTGACTACATTAAAAAAATAGATCCTAAAGATTAACCAGTAGGCATAATATTAACATAAAAACAAACAGTAAAAGAAGTGCATGTAGAGTGAACTGGTTATTTTCCCATTTCCTGACTTACTCTTTCTATGGGTTTGCATAAGCAAACACCACATTAGATTAATATGTTCTAAGTAAACATAAGATTATATACTTATATCATTATTTAAGTAATTTGATTTGTACTCTATCCAGACAATCATTACTGATTGCATTATAATTGATTTCTCAATGCAAACCAGTTAGATTTAAGTGCCTTTAAATACTGCATTCAGAAAAAAAATAAATAAAAAAAATCAAGAAGATGCTCTTTCTGCTGTGTTTTGATTCATATTGCCATTGAAACCCATACATGGTGTTTGCACCTGCTCATGAACATTGTACAGATCTCTGCAACTACAGGCCAATTACAATTAAAAAGACAGTTTTTAGTCTTTGACATAGTCACCCATCAATTAAAATAACTAATCACACAATCTTTTTTGTTTGACAAATACCTCTCTTTTTCTACTTTATTTTCTTCTTTTTAATATACAATTGCTTAGGAGAAAATATCTAAACAAATAGCAAAACCCCCCACATTTACACAAATAGGAGAGTTTCAGTTTAAAGTCTTGATTTGTGCTGGGGTTTTCTTGTTTTGGATTTTTGGTATTTCTGGCATTTTTTGTGGTTTTTCTAAATACTTTTGTTTTGTAACCAATACCAGATGAAATTAAAGCAGGATCAAATTTAGTTTCAGTTACTGCAGTTTCAGGAAACTATTCATGAGTGGTTTTGTGTAATAAATTTCTCTTGGAAGAGTCTAGAACTTACTTGGTCAACCATCATGAGGGAGAAATGCCTGAAGTTCATAATATGCTTTTCCTGTACTAAAGCTGCTTTAATTCTTTTTAATAATGAACTAAGACCTGTACCAGTTTCCTTCTTCAAGCTTTCAGTTCCTTAAATTTGCTAAAACAACTCAAAGCTAGAGAAGCACTGCAGTTTCAGAGCTCTGTTTACCTTAGACATGAACATTCTCAATGTCATATTAATAGAATCTCATTTCTACAGAACATTCCTCTTTAACAAGGCCATGCTGCACAAAACAGCATGAAAAACACCTATTAATACCATTTTCACCATCAAAAGCACATTGCTACATGCATGATGGATTATACAAATGAATTTTTCTTCTAAACAAATATCAAAGAAAGCTCCAACACTTGTATTCAGGGAGTAGCTCTGTTGTTTTTGCTAGCAGTAAAGGATTTTTGTCATCTGCCAAGTCAACAGCTTACACTGAGAGCAAACAAAACAGAGGAACCCAAAGAGATTGGCTGCTACAGGCTTCTGACCCAATCCTGTTAACAAAGAAATTGCTAGAAAATTAAACAAAAGAAAATACATATGACAGTGTATTTTCTAATGGAAATTCACACCAGAGAAAAAGTTCTCTCACCTCACAACCAAATACTGTGGGTAGGGACTCTACTAGGAACTCACTAATGCTTGTGACCCATGGGCTTTGAGAACGAAGTCTCAGGCAACTCCCCCTGAGTTCCACAACTTCTCATCTTTATCCATTTAGATCAAAGGCCAGAAATTAAAAAGGAGGGGGCATCAATACTGTAAAACATTGGCACTGGACATGAATACATGGTAAAAATGTTCTGCCATGACATGAAGCTTCGAGGTGGTAACTGTGATGATCCACCTGGATCTGCCCTGCTCTATTTCAATACACCAAAGTGATCTTTACTTCCTTTTCACTTTTTTGTCTAAGACAAAAATGGCAAATGGAAGGAAAGGATTCTTAGCCCCATATTCATGGTGGAAGCAGATCGATTACACTTTGTCTTCCCAAAGGATGTAGCCAAGAGTCAGTTCCAGCTGGAATTTTCCCTGTGCTCTAGCAGACTGCAGAGTCAAGCACTTGTTTTAACTTACCCGTATGTTTACAAATGCAAAATAACAGGGTTTTTTTTTCTCACAATTTCAGTTCTTTGAGCAGCATTAACAACCCCAAACAAACCCAGGAAAACTCAACTTTGTACGAAGAGCAGAAGAGCTCAACAAACATAACGTGTAGCAATCAATACTTCCAGGATTTGATTGAAATAACAAAAGGTATTGAAATATAAAATCTGCCATGGGAATATTTATGAATGTTGCTTAAATTACATTACAAGATGAAATTAAAACAAAGTTGCTGTTACAGCCTTCTATGCAATTTAATGTATAGTTTGCATAAATAAAGCATTATAATGCATTCATTTGTTTCCTTCAGTTTCTTACCTTGTCCTTCTGGAGTTTCACCAAAGGGATTCACTTCAACCTGAGTGGCATCAATTTTCAAGAAAAGGTTATACAGCTTCTTAATTTGATCTGCTGCCTAAATTTGATCAAGTGATTTACAATTACCACACAGAAAAATAGAAGTTAATGCAAAAGTAAACTATTACTGATTATTTTTAATGTATTAAATTACACACTAGGTCTGGATAATTACTGTTTTTATTTCTGTTTTCTTAATCACATGTATATAGCATCTAAAATAGCTATGATGAAGCATTATGATACTGCATTACATTTAGTAAATGTGCATTTAAAGACTACATGAACTGAGATTTTCTACAAAATAAACAGCACGATTATTATGACAAGTTTAATTTCAGAAGTGCCTAACAGTTCAGAACCACGTGTTCTCTGACCTGCTCAGATCTAAGTTGCATTCACTTTAATCAGTTGAAATTCAGAAACCATAAATCAGCGTGTGCACATTAATGACTTTAGAAAAAAATATACATTTCTCCTTCTTGTATCATTCTGAAATGTTTTCTGGAAGAAATTATGCTGGAAGCATGCTTGTTTACAAGATACTCTCACTTGTTTCTTATTGTTCCTCACCATCTAGCTCCATGCCTGGTTCTGTGGCCAAAAGTATTGTGGCTGGCTACTAACTTCCAAGTCTCTGGTTCTTATAAGATTCTTCTATTAGTAGAACAAATTGAACAGCAGGAACATGAACGTGCATGAAAAATTTCCCTTTGGTTCATTACACAGTGACCACCTATTAGCTGAAATCATTTGCAGATGAAAAAGTGGCTCTAATAAAGAACCATGCAAATTTGTTCCTGGATCACTGATCAGTTCGCTGAAGTACACAAACCAAAAACATTTGGAATCTCTCCTCATAAGGAGAGAGGATGAGAATTGAAAAAAAACCACAAAAAAACAAAACCAAAAAAACAACATTACAATTGGAAAGACTCAACCCCAAAATTGCACTACATCAAGAAGAACATGTGAGGGATGTTCCTGTCTTCCTGCACTCGGTGCAGACCAGGCTGTGTGCAATTTGGGGACCAACACATCTGAAACCCTGTAAAGAGTTACAGTGTGGAAGCAGCCTATGAAGTTTTCCTTCCTCAAAAGTCATCAGCTGAAGCATTTTCAGTGTTTTTTACTTTAAAAAACCCTATAAGTTATAAAGCTGCACCCACCAAGGCAGGAGTTTCCTCAGCATAGACTCTTTGGTTGACAAACCACACGTTCAGGCTACCAGCAGTGAAGGGAGCCCCGCTGTGCAACCTCACATTAATTCTGGGCAATCTGAAAAGAAGTTGTTGCCCTAGTTCACTGCTATAATTTTAAGAGATCAACAGAATCACTTAACTTTTATTAAGGGCTTTTCCACCTTTCAGCACCTCTCTGAATGAGGCAGCTTTTAAAATTTCTCCTTCTAAGTCTACAAATTCTGAGCCTTTTTGAGGAAAAACTTTACATTCCATCCTAGAAATAGTGAATGTGTAAGTAAATATTAGGATTTTTCTGAAGGAAAACTATGTCCCTTTCCTTCAGTAAATTCCTTTGAGTTGATAGCACAGGGAAAGAAGTGCATTCACTGTAGCATTAGTGAAATGTATTGTTGGAAACTCCATGTTTTGCTGTTCATTACTAAGTGCCAGAACTCTTCAAGGGTTGAAAGGTTCTGCATAATCATTCCTCCTCATTAGATATACAGCTAAATCTTCAAATGTGTGTTAATCAACTTAATGATTATGCATTTGTTAATTGCACAGTTGGGATAGAAAATAATTAAAATTGCTAAATTAAAAATAAAGTAGTTCTACAAATATGACAGTTTTTACTATGGGGGAAGAAAAAGAAACAGGCAAAAGTAGCTTACACAAGTTTTCCCTTATTTGTAAAATGATTCATAATGGTAAAAGATCTTACATATTTATACAAAATAAGGAATCTCAATATATATATAAAAGAGATACTAAAAAGACAACAAGCTGGCAGTCTTTTGGTATGAAATGGGTATCAAAAAGAGAAAAAAAAAGGCTTCAGTCACACAGAGAGAGACACACTTACTTCTTCCCATATTCCCCATATTCCAAAAAGCTCTACCCTTGTCTTCACTGAGCTCCAAAGGAATTCCAGTGAAATCAAAAGAATCCCACATGGTGTAACAGCTTGTCATCAATTGCTTCAAATACCAGGAACTTTCACTTTGGAGCACTAGGGTCTTATTCAAAATTAAAGCCTGATGACAATTAAAGGTGCAACTGAGTATTTAATAGATCAAAATGGTCCTGTCCTAATGAACACTTAACCTTTCATATCTTTTTGGAAAGCATTTATTGTACAGCTTGGCTAAAATATCTTCAATAAAAACCAAGGGAGTAGAGTTCAGTTACCTGCTGTTGCAAAGGTCCTTTGAATCCCAAATTTTTTGCCATCTGCAATGCCTGATGATCCTTTATGCCTTCAAAAATATCTATTTCCTCCTGCAACAATAACATGCACAAATATAACTCAATATTCCGTCTGAATGGAGATTCATAACTTCAAAAGGAAAATATTTAGTATACATTTGCAAACTGGTAATTAAAGCATGGCTATTTGCCAAAGTTCTCTGAGACTGAGGCTACAGCAGCTGCCTATAGGGTATGTTATAATTACCACACCAACTATGGAACAGGCCTTCAAAAACTATATAATTCTTCAGGGTGGCATGCTGACAAGACAATGTGATACCAGTTTTCACTTTTAATTACTCTACAGATGGCGTTGACGAATATTGAGTCTGTTAATTTTTATGACATCTTCTGGAATATTTTCAAGGCAATGGTGTCACTGCTCAGTAACACTGTGAAGTTGATATAATTTTAAAATGCATATTAAATATTTTCACAATTTTTGGAATAATTATTCTTGATTATATCAATTATTTTTACCAGAATAATACTTGTCTACTTATCATGCCATAATAATAAAAAAAGACTTAAATGCAGTCATCATTAAGAAGGTAATTACAAGAGTTGGATTTCAGATGCAAAAGTCTTCCATGTACAAATAAATAATTAACAGCTCTGTCAGAAAAAACCAGAAACAATCATCATATTGGCACTGATCCAGCTGGGAAAAAACTGCACCTTCCTAAAAATGAAACCCACCCATAAAACATTTCAGATGTTATGCTTAACGTATCACATAGCAGTGGATTTAAGCTCTTCTTCTCAGTGGGGCTGGAGACAAAAACAATTAACAAAATCAGACATTAAATAAGCTTCACGCTTCATTTATCTACTAGGTGACAGGTGTGATTCCCAATTTGGGGAAACACAACTTTTATGGTTCTTATTGTCTTCTTTCCACACATGGAAGAAGGAGAAATGGAAGGAGAAAGGGAGAAAAACTTGATTTTGGATAACTGACATAGGAAGTGTTCAGTCTAAAGTTTTACTCTAATACCTTAAAAATAAGTTCTGGGCTTGTAACTGCAACTTCTTCTATGTCAACACCACCCTGTGGACTGCCAACCATAACAGGTCCATTGCAGGCTCTGTCCATCAAGATTGCAAAGTATGTTTCCCTGGAAATATTCAGCGCTTCTGCAACCATCACCTAAAAAATGAATAGAGGGAAGAAAAAAAATACAGCAACAGTTCTGATCGGTCCATTTAACTGGGGAAATGTTCTTACTCTTAAAAAAGAAAATCTGCATATGATCATTACTAACTGCTCCTTATGATGCTAGCAGGTGCCATAATCTCATGTGTCCTGGTTTGAGCCAGGATGAAGCCAATTTCTCTTTTTACTGATTTTTTTTTTTTTCCCTTCAGGAAGCTTTCTTGTAACTAGCAACAGTGTGTTCTGCTAGGCTGATAAGACAGTGGAATGTTTTTCTAACTACTGAAGCTTCAAGGTTGCACCTGCACTCTGCTGGGTCCGACACAATGGGGAGATCTGTGACCCCCCCGTAGGAGGCTGAGTTAGACAGACAGCAAAATTGGCCAAAGATATTCCATTCCATATATCTACGTAAGCTCAGAGGAAGGTCAGAGATCACAGAAGACAACTTCCTTCCTCCTTCTTCTCCCTTCTCTTCGGTCCATGGCCGGTGTCCGGGGAGGACTCTGTTCATCCATCACCGTCGATCCTCAGGCTTGATCTCTCGTGACCCCCATAACTCTCTGCTTTCTCCAGCAGCAGCTCCGGGATTCCTTGGGACTCTTCCCAGTTCAGGGAAGTGCTGTGGGAGTTGCTGGGGTGGGGGGAGGCGAGAGGTTTTTTGCCCATACCTAAATATATCTGTATATAATTGTATATATTTTTTTTGTATCATTCATTAGTGTTTTAATTAAAGCTGTGTAGTTTAGTTTTCAACCCAGCCAAGTCTCTCTCTTTTTCTCTCTCTCCTTCCCTACCTGGGTTGGGGGGAGGGGGGATCGAGAGCATTGTTGTC